AAAGATTAAAGAAACAGTTTAGCTTAGTCCATTGTCTTAACCCATGCCAAGTCTGTAACATCATTCTGTTCGTCGTTCCGACTTTGTTATTCGATTCCCAGTAAAAAGTGTCGAATGACACTGCATCGCGACGATAACCGCCATCACATCTTGTGGCTTCCTGAAGCGGTCATTGGAAACCCACCAGTGATGAAATAGCTGAGGACCGACATCCTCCGAGCGCAAAAATAAGAGTGAAGCAAACAATGGAATGATAACCTTAGCAAGGGCTAACCGGAAACGCTAAATGAAAAGTGGCTTCTCCTTACTTTATCTATTTTACATGGCCCTTTTTCACACCTACTGAGCGGATATCAGCACTTCTAGCATTCAATTCCTTTCCTCGCGTCCATAATCCAAAAAGAGTTGCGAACTTCTCGCGTTTGTATAGCGCTTCTGCTTGAAGAACGTCGTCTCCTTCTTGAATGTCGTTGAATGTTGCTCGAGTCTCATCTGATCTTCAAAGCCTACTTAGCGTCGTGATAAGCGGGCTAGAGCGTTGCCACCTGGAATTGTGGGGAGTGAACTATTCCCAGACATCTCTGGTACCAATTTCCCTACTGCGGATGGTGAAGAGCTTGGTGAGCTCGATAGGGGAACGAACCACTATCATATTCATGATCAACGACATCACTACCTTTGCGCTACCCGTCTCCCACCTTTTCCACCAGCGAACTGGTGTAAATAAATTTTTAGAAGATCGGATTTTCCTCTTAGTGCTATTTGTCTGAAAAGTCTGGCAAAGCATCGATTTTTCATGTTTTAAACCTGGATTCAGAGGTCCGACATGCTTTTTTGTCTCCAGTTCTTCTCACCTAGTTTACGTGAGCCGTCTTTTACCTCCATTGTACAGATGCCAACACTTCACGCGTCTTCAACACACGTAGCTCTCCTAACTTTTTAGGCGTGGCTTCGGCCGTTACTTGGGGATTGGGAGCTCTTGGGGGCCACTCATCATGAATGTAATTAAATGCTGATCGAGTTCTTTCTCCCCGTAGTCTTGGGATAGCAGATAGCCGGGCTGGAGCATTCCTAATTCGATTGCAGAGAGTTATTTTTTCCGAACAGCTTCGGTGCCAATTTTCCGATACTGGGGTGATGAGAGGCTTGGTGAGCCCTGCGGGGGAGCGAATCATCATCAGCACTGTCCTCGTGATGGTGGAGATCACTACCACTGTGTTACCCGCCTCCTATTGATAAGTATACAATAACCCAACGCTTGGACATGATTGATCTAGTAGATTTTAAAACGACAAAACATAGGAACTAAAGAGAAAAATATGAGCTGTTCGCACTAACTATGCCAAGTTTTGCAGAAAACCCGGCATTTTTCAATTTAAGCTGTCAAATGACTCATGAAATGATATTCGATAAACCATAGAAAATCATTTCGCAAAGTCAAACTTGATGAAATATGTTTGAGAGCATTCACATCGCCAACTGCATCGATTAGCGAACAATCGATGCTAGACTAGAGATTTCAGGAGGGTATACCGATCACGGTGATATAGAAAGCATCCCAGTGGGCTTCATGATTGGATGACCATCGGTGTGGTCAGTCTGTCCAGGCCGCTTAGCCTCAACTACTAAACCGGACGAGGACCATCACAGCAGCAAGCACCGTGGTCCTCTATGCAGCCGAGTCCGCACTGAAGTGCTCGCGTGCGAACTGCTCCCGTTAGCGCCAGTGGCGGATCAGTTCGCTTCCATTCTCCGGTCATTTTTTTTCCCGTTGCTGTTCACTCTCTGGAAGCATGATCGCAATTCGAAGCGCTCTGATCGGTGTTGTCAATCGAACCGATGTGTATCTGATCGGGTGTATCAGTGCGAGAAAGATGATGGCCATGCCTCTGCGACTCGGGCACGAATCGATTTCAGCGCAGTCTGACGCCATTCTTCGAGTCCTCGCTCATATCGTTCCCGGAATCCCAACTGGCTTTCAGAGCTTTTCCTTTGTACAACTGCATATACATTGTGTGCATTATAATCTCTCTACTCCGGAACCTCTTCGGTTTCTTTCTAAGGTCTTCTGTCCTTCTGAATCTTTTCGGTTTCCTTCTGAGGTTCTGTCTCCACCGGAACCTCTTCGGTTTCTTTCTCAAGTTTTCTCCTTCCACTTTTTCGATATTGTTTCTTTAACAGCACTGCGAAGCTTGTGAAAAAGTGAACGGGAAAAGAAATAGACTACACATTCTTGGGCAATGCACATGAATTCTGAGGCTTTGCCAAGCCACAGTTTTAACATTCTTTCTAACTCATGTGAGTTAATGTGGAGTGATCTAGGGTTAGCTGTGTGTTACCTAGGTGTCGTTCCGTCCATTGGTTGTTGACAAACTTCCGGGGAGGCTCAGTTGTTCGTACCTGCTTTTCGTCATCAATACCACCAATGAATGGTTCGTTCGTTTTGTTACGTACACGTCGCTGCTGTTTACACATCGAGGAAGAGTCGCCGGCCGGCGTCTCGCCGTGAACCACATTGTTCGGGTGCTGATACCTTGTGGGAGCATTTGCGGTGATCTTTTGTTCCCAATCTTCTACGCTTCTCAAACTGGCATGCTTTGTGTTTGATGTTGTAACTTTAGCAGATAGACTGTTTTCTCGTGCCTCGTGCTTTTCATCATCTCGACTTGCGCCAATAGTAACACCTAACGCCTGACATGCATTGATTTCAATGCGTTTTCCTTCCATTAGCTTAATATTTTCGCATTAATATTGTAATATAATATATTTATGATATTTCACATTTCAATATATTTCAGATACTATTATATTACCTGCTAAGATTTCAGCAGAGAGCCTTTATGCTATGTTTTCAAAACTATCTTTCACTCAACTTCGGTATGGATAACTACTATCTTGCTTTGTTAATAAGATTACACAAGATTGTTTCAAGAGCTATTGTGGCTTCAATTTCATCGTCATCGCCTTCAACGCCGCTACGAGCGGAGTCGAGTGTCTACAGCTGGTATCGCTTGCTAAGGGGGTTTGTGGTCGCAACGAGTCGAATCGACTGGAGAGGAGCACCCACGAGTTCACTGAGTCCCCATTTTGAACGGCACGAGAACGAAGACAGACACGCATTTCCGAGACCTGAATAGTCTGCTGCAGTCGCTAGTGACAAGTTCGTTCAGTGGTCTAAGCACGAATAGTCTCATAGGTCCTAAATCGTCTTGCCGACGAAGTGGAGGTTAAATATCAGGATTCCAGATATCAATCCTACCATAATATGGGATAGGGCCGACTGGCTGCTAGATCAGGATTGCAACTCTCAGCTGTAATAGATCAGTAATCTTCATTGTAAAATAGAGACCGATGAATCATTCCTTCTGATCAGAAATCGTCGTATGCAACAGCACATTCTTCTCTATTTCTCTGACCGATCGTCATTTAACCTCGGCACTAATAATCAATATCCTCTTGGATTATTAAGGTAACACGAGGTTGATAAAGATGCTTATTTAGCAGACGCCTCGTTATCTTCGTCTTCATCACAGCCGACAATCCGAGACGATGGTCCACGGTCGTTCGTCTTCTTCACGATGTGACGTCCTCATCATCGTATAGAGTCGGATCTTCAGAGGAGTACAGCTCGTATGAGCAACCTCACCCGGCAGTGCCGTTCTGTGCAGAACGATTGCTGCTGATAGTGGTTGTCCGTCGATAATAATTTGCTTTTCCGTACTAATTCTGTTGTTTCTTGTTGTACATTCTTCCGTAGTCTTTTCGCCTGATTCACAGTCAGTTCCTAAATATTTTATGAAGTCAGTCGGTTACGAAAATATGATCCAATCAGATTGAGTGTCGTCGAAAAGCTGAAACAGTGTTACACTGCTTACCGCTGACTTCGTCATAATTATCATCACCGACATCGTATCCACCGTTCAGTTCATTTGGTTCCAACTCCTCGACGTGGAGCATAGGATGTTCCGTATTGTTCTCCATATCTCCAGTTTGTTCAGTGGCTGTCACTGTTTCCATCTATTGATTTATTTAGTGATTCTAGATCATAAAGTTCAATTCTTGACCTCCCAAATTCAATTCAAAACAGTGAGAGCCCTAAAGCTTTTGGCGTTGATCAATCCCTGAAGGATGCGCCATGCATTCGACTTCGTTAAGTATCGTTTAGAGGTGATTGAATGCATATCTGGCTATTACAATGACTCGCGGTGGCCTACCGATGTATGGAGCCAGTGCTGCTATCCTCCCAGACAAGTCTGCTACCAATTTGCCGAACCCGGAGGTACGGAAAGCTTGGTGGGTTATGGGCGCGGAGATCGATTCCACATGTGTACCGTACTGTCGGGCGCCTCCGACCACTGCGTCACACGCGCCCTTCCAAAACAACAGCTGACTTTTAAATAGTAGCATATGGTCACTAGTAAGGTGAATAATTTTAGAGCATTGTTCGCTTCTATAACTCTATCGATTTCTCAAGTCTACAAATAGTTTAGGTATCGAAAAATCATCGGGAATCATCAAGAAGATTACTATCGTCCACCACGTGAAGCTTAAAAAATTCTGTTTTAACCCATTCACTGTCATTTCATTTCCAATAACTATGAGGGATGGTGATTGGGATAAACTTAAGAGGAGTTACAAAGCGGTTGGAAATGTTAACAATAATGTTACTGTGGTGGTTAGTAGTGATCTATGTGCCCCGTCTCGTCTACCCACCCCTTCATTACGCTGAAGTCCATTCGTCCCTTCTCTTCCTCTCTTAGATCCATAGACAAATCCTCCTCCATTAGTCAATTAAGTTTCATAGCACTCAAGTACTCTAATAGTCTGAAAATTACTGTCTGTAGTCGAAAAACTGACACCGTTCGTCTTCATCGACATCGGACTTTATTCCCGTTCTACAAGTCGTTTTTTTAGAGGGTCAAACCTTTAAACCTTTTGAGGTCATCGATCTTCTCTCTTCGACTAGATTTTAGTACTAACAACGGTATCGTGTTATATCAATGGCCAAAATGATGACTGATTATGATCGCCGCAAACAAATTAGTGTACGTGGAATCGCACAGGTGGAGAATGTGAGCAACATCAAGAAAGCCTTCAACAGACATCTTCACTTCTCCATAATTAAGGTTTGTTGAGCAAAGTCAGCTTGTGGCTTTTGAGTTCACTTAGAAACTTTTCGGGAAACTTTTCCTTTTAGTTTATCTGTTCTTTCATACTTCTAGCGGTTTACCGCCTTATCATGGTTGGGAGGTGATCTTGGGTGTTGGGCTGTGGTGTACAACGGGGTGATTCGTCTCCTTGGCAAGGTCACCCGAGCTGAGGAGTCCGACGTTTCAATCCGGAAACCTGGTTAAAAGTAAATCACTCCCAGGACCCACCACCGTCCTAGTATCAAACTAGTCGCATAGTGGCAAACATCCCTCTGATCCGCAAGGGCGGCAACCGCTTGTGGTGGTGAAAATTTGGGGAAGACTTTGGCACGGCTCACCTCAGGTCTTAATGAATAAACCGGGAAAACTCTGAAAAAAAGGAAGTTATGCTGGGGTCCGCATAACCAATGATAACGGGCCATCAAAGTATCCAGATAAGTTCTTACATAATAAAATCGTGCCTTTGCGCAGTTTGAGTGGATTGAAAGAGAACCATGCTAGGAGAGAACTATGAGTAAATATACGTCGCTATTAGTCTTGCAATGAAATGGACATCATCAAAGCAGAAAAACAATTGGGAATAACGTGTAATGTTGAGAATTATGTGAGTCCTTGTATCTAATTCGCGCACTTAAAAGGATCTATGTGAAACGAAGTCAGTATCAGTGTAGGACCAAGTACGTTTTAAATTTTGCAGGCCTAGAAAATCCTAGGTGAGAGCGAGTTAAGTGGATTTTTCTGGAAGTTATGTAATGTGCCGTAGGATCGGAATGTTGCGACACCACGAGACTACTACATGGCTCTTGCGAACACTGTTAGGGACCACTTAGTAAGCAGATGGATCCGCACACAACAGCACTACTACGAGAAGGATCCAAAGGTATTTTTCCCTAAGCTCACTTCGAAGAATTTTTTGTCTTTTGCAGTACCCTTTGACAGTACTTCCTTTGAATACATGGAATCGTTTATTTATTTTAGAGGGTTTACTACTTATCTCTTGAGTTCTACATGGGGCGCACACTGTCGAATACTATGATGAATCTTGGGGTACAGGCTACTGTCGATGAAGCACTCTACCAGGTATCTTGTCTTTTAAGTCTAACTGATCGTCTGAAGACCGTCCTGCTACTTGCTTTCCACGATAAATATGAAACTTGTTCAGCTTGGATTGGAGATCGAAGAATTGCAAGAGATAGAAGAAGACGCCGGACTCGGTAATGGAGGTCTTGGTCGACTTGCTGCTTGTTTTCTTGACTCCATGGCTACGTTAGGGATACCAGCTTATGGATATGGGCTTCGTTATGAATATGGAATATTCAAGCAGCTCATCAAGGACGGATGGCAGGTGATATTTCTAAGTTTTCTTATCCTATTTTTCAATTTTCAAGATCACACTCTTAATTTTACAAACGCTTGGAAGAATCACTGTCATTCGGTTGTCGATATGTCATCTTTTAATTGTCATTAATTCGTTTTCCATATTAGTTTCGTATCGAATGTTAGCAGTTAACTTTGGTAAGCAGCCTAAGAGAGACGTGTAGCCCAGTGGTTGGAAGCACTTTACAATACACATGGGATCGGTCTCGCTCCTCAGGCTCACCATGCCTTTCATCGTTCCGTGGTCGAAAATTGATACCAGAGTTGTCTAGGAGGATATCAGCACTGGCTGTATACATCGGTAGGCCACCACGATTCATTGTAAAGGCCAGATATGCCTTCAGTTATCTCTATACGTTGCTTAATGAAGTCGAATACATTGCTCATCTCTCACGGATTCATTAACGCCGAAAGCTTTTTCTTTTATGTTTTATAGAACTTGCGAAGTAAACATGCTTTTCATCCTATCATTGAAGAAGTGTGGCGGGGGTGGGATCGACGCCGTGGATTCTTTTGGAATAGTGGGAGCTGAAATCTGCGTCGATATTACTTACATTGAATTACATTACTTAATTATTTATAAGGTTACAGTCGTGATTTCCACACAATGAGTATTAACTCTTGTACTTATTTCCTTATGAAAATGCTAGACGGTAGTTTTCATGCTAAGCCGTACAAAGTGTGCCTCGTATCTAGTGCGATGACTGCAATACATTTAACGCAGTAAAAAAAGGATAAAGCTCTCGACATTGATCAATCCCTGAGGGTTGCGCCATGCATTCGACTTTATTACCCATCGTTGGACGTTATTGAATGCATATCTGGTGTTTGCAATCACACGCGGTGATCTACCTATGTATCGAGCCAGTGCTGCTATCCTCCCAGACAAGTCTGATACCAATTTGCGACCCCGAAGGGATGGAAGGCTTGGTGAGTCTAGAGCTTGGAGATTGTTCCCTTGTGTACTGCAGGGCGCTTCCGACCTTTGCGTTATACGGGTGGTATTTCCTCACATTGATCGTACACATTCTGAAAAACGCTATATAGTTTGCAGGTGGAAGAACCCGATGACTGGCTTAGATTTGGAAACCCATGGGAAAAGGCTCGGCCAGAATATATGCTCCCTGTGAACTTCTTTGGAAGAGTCGTCAGAGATCAGAAAGGGAATGTAAGTTTTTCTGTCGCTTTGTCTTTCTTCTGTTTTTTGCTGAGCATTGAGATCGAAAGCCGTTTATAAAATTTCTCGATTGCGAGCGTTGTATTAGAGATTTTGCCCTGTCGCTGTAACTCTTATCGCAGAAAAGGCTAGGTTTCTTCTACTTATGATTAATATTAATAACATCAATTTAGACTGAATACTTTCTTTATTTTAACCGAATATGGAGAAGTCATGACGAGACTATTCCAATATGAATTCTCAAGCTTCTTTTCTAACTTTTAGGCCCAATGGGTGGATACTCAGGTGGTTTTTGCGATGCCATATGACACTCCTATTCCAGGATATCGTAATAACGTTGTAAACACTCTTCGTCTTTGGAGCGCCAAGGCATGCCATTTGATTGCGTCAACTTCTTAGAACATTGTTACTTTCCCGTGTAGTAGTTATATTCACCACAGTTTATCCCTTTTAGGCCGAAAATCATTTCCATCTGAAGTTCTTCAATGATGGCGACTATGTGCAGGCAGTGATGGATCGTAATCTCTCCGAGAACATCACTCGTGTTCTCTATCCCAATGACAACGTAACTGCGTTTCGTTCCCTAGATGAAGTAGTTTTTACGCAATTAATAATGTTTTCTTAGGTTTTTATCGGCAAGGAACTTCGTCTTAAGCAGCAGTACTTCTTGGTCGCCGCTACTCTTCAGGACATTATTCGCCGTTTCAAGTCGAGCAAATACGGATGTCGCGATGCGATTCGTATTAAGTTTGATTCTTTCCCTGATAAGGTAGTTGAGCAGATCTTTGACTACCCAAGACCTAAATGAGAATGACAGCGTCTGTTAAAATTATGCGAATTTTGAGGTCGCCATCCAGCTAAATGATACCCATCCTTCTATTGGGATTCCGGAGTTGATTAGACTGTTGGTAGATGTAGAAGGTGACAATTTTTATCTCGGATTTTCTTGTGTTGTGTAAAAAAATGTCTTGAGTTAGATGTGGATATATTTCAATACGTTATCGGATTCATTTTTAGGTCTGACTTGGGCTCAAGCATGGGATATTTGTGTCAGGACTTTTGCTTACACAAATCACACTCTTCTTCCCGAAGCGTTGGAGAGATGGCCTGTATCCATGCTTCAATCCATGCTTCCACGTCACTTGGAAATTATTTACGAAATTAACCAAAAGTTCATGGACGTAAGTGTCAAGTTAAAAATTTAAAAGTCACTGGAGGTTCTACGTGATGTTTTTTATGTTTTAGCTCCAAGCAAAGTCTACTTTTGATAAGTTTATGTAAGGTTTTCGTTTTTAGGCTATTTCAGCTAAATATCCCGGAGACTTCGACAGAATGCGGCGCATGTCGATAGTCGAAGAAGCCGATTTGTTTGGAGAGGTGAGACATGCAGTATTCATATAATCATGGTCCTAATCGCCTGAGAGAAAACGCAAAGCAAAGGCCTCAGTGGCGCACTGTGTAATACGCGAGCCTCCGAAAGGGTAAGCGTGGTTCGATGTGGACCAGGGTCCAAGTTTTACGAATATCTCAGCATCGTTGTGGTTGTCTTTTACATCACACCCTGCCGTGAAAAATTATCGTATGCAGCAAATAAAGGGTTGACATTATAATCACCGTCCTAATATTAAGCATTTTTATAGAAAAGAATCAACATGGCTCACTTATGTATCGTCTGTTCCCATGCCATTAACGGTGTCGCTGCACTGCACTCCAATTTGCTTAAATCTACCACGTCAGTTTTGATTTGTGTTGTGCCATCATTTAAGTTCGATTTCGTCTTATTTTGTCTTTGACGTGGAAGAAAAAGTGAAGTGAATGTATGACTGCAAGAATTGCATCTCTACATCTTTGTACTCCTTTAGAAGTCTCTCCGGTTTAGGTTCAAAGACTTTTATGAGATGTATCCTGAGAAATTCCAAAACAAAACTAACGGAATTACACCACGTCGTTGGCTGCTTTTGTCTAATCCTGCTCTTGCTGATGTGATTGCTGAGGTACTTTATATATTTAGTCACATATATACATATACATTTATATATATATATATACAAGTCAAATTATGCATATAACTAGTCTAGAAGTGTCGCACTCCCAACCGTTTACGTCTCATCATGACTTGGAGGTGTTCGTGGGCGTTCGGCTGCGATATACAGCGGGCCGACTCATCTCCTCACCAGTGCCTCCCTAGCGGAGAAGGAGTTCGGCGTTCCATTGGGAAGCCCAGCTAAAAGTAAACCAATGCCAGGATCCGTCACCGTCCTGGTACCAAACTAGTCGCATGGTGGCAAATCTCCCTCTTATCCAAAGGGGCGGCGATTGCTGTTGCTGGTGACGACCTGAGGCAGACTGGCCAGGCTGACCTTAGGACTCCATGGAAACACAATGGCTAAACCAGCAAAACTCCAAAAAAATGGAAATTATGCTGGGGTGCGCACAACCAGTGAAGATGGACCATCCAACCATCCAAATTTAGAAGTATGGCATTAAAATATATAAGCATATTATATACTATCGAAGTATACTTAATTACTTGGTACTTGAGTGCCCTGTACTCATTGTGCGGACACAAGCATAATCTCCATTTTTCGGAGATTTGCTGGTTAAACCATTACGGTTTCCTGGGATCGCGACGTTAGCCTGGCGAAAGTCTGCCCCAGCTCTTCACCACCACCACCACAAGCAGTCGCAGCCCTCGTGGATTAGAGGGAGATTTGCCACCATCCGACCTTGATTTCAGGACGATGGTGGATACTGGCATTGGTTTACTCTTAGCTAGGCTTCTTGGTGGAAACACCGGACTCTTTCTCAGCTTGGGAAACCCTGTCAGGGGTAAGAATCTACCCACTGTAGATCGCAGTCCGACACCCAGGCACACCTCCCAGCCACGATGAAGCTGCAAACCGTTGGGAGAGTATCGAAGTAAATGATAAATGGAAATATATATTTAAATATTTCAGGTTATACATATATGTATATATAAGATTTACATACATTTATGTATAGATGTATATTGTATGTATTTATATATCCTTTCCTTCCTGTTTAATAAGTATTTATGATATGCTGCACTAATTAAGAAAATCGGAGAGGACTGGATCACAAACCTGGATGACTTGCAGAAGTTGAAGGAATTTGTAGACAATCCAGGATTCTTGGATCAGATCCGCCGTGTAAAGCAGGTGTTTTTGAAGCTATTGGGAGGATCTATGAAGTAAGACTGTCTTTCCAAATCGTTTATTATTTAAGGAGAACAAAATGCGTGTCGCTCAGTATCTCAATGAGGATTATAACATAGAAGTGAACCCTGGAAGCATTTTCGATATTCATGTAGGTGGTAGTTTCGCACTCGTATTCAGTCTATTTTAAAGCCTATCCAGTTTCCAGGTGAAAAGAATTCACGAGTATAAACGGCAGCTACTGAACATCCTTCATGTTATAGCGTTGTATAACAGAATAAAGGCTAACCCGAACATTGACATGGTTCCTAGAACATTTCTGTATGGTGGAAAGGTGAGAGTGATTCCGATTCTTTTTGTTTTACTCGTTAACCTGACTGCTTAGCCGGGTGTATATAGACCTGCAATTTAAGGCTGCTCCAGGATACCATATCGCCAAGCAGATTATCCGCCTTATTACAAGTGTCGGTGAAGTTGTGAACAACGATCCTATTGTTGGAGATAAAATAAAAGTCAGTTGCGTAAACTTTAGATAACGTTAATCGATATGTCACACTGATCCGGATTCATAGTTAAACCTACCAGAAAGCACGGCAGGGACAATGTCGAACAGTGGAGAAGAGCTGGACCCAAAATACGACGACCTATGTGATGAAACCCCCCACCAGTGTTCGACGTTGTCTCTGAATTGCCTTTTGGTAGCCTTAACGCTAAAGGTCAGTTGTTCAGTTAAGGTAGCATGTATTGGCTGAATTCGATTAGAGTGTCTTTCTGTTTAACTGAAACGTTTCATGTTAATCAAGATTCCTGTGGTGCTCTCAAAACCGTGCTTTCTTTCTATGATTACTCATTCTCATTTACGTTATTTTTTTCGATACTGTTTGTTAGGGCGCGTGTAGCCCAGTGGACGGAGGCGCTCTGCAACACACATGGGATTTATCCCGTTCCCTAGACTCACCATGCCTTCCATCACTCTGGGTCACAAGTTGATACTAGGCTTTTCTGAGAGGATTGCAGCACTAGGTCGATAGATCGGTAGGCCACTGCGAGTCACTTTAAAGGCCAGATATGCATTTCACCTCCAATGAAGTCGAATGCATGGCGCATCCCTCGGAGATTGATCAATGCCGAGAGCTTTATCCTTTGACCTTTTACTGTTTATCGTAGAAGCACCATGTACTAACTTCAATTCTTTTGTCGTTTTCAGGTTGTTTTCCTCGAAAATTATCGCGTATCGATGGCGGAAAAGATCATACCCGCTGCGGACCTCAGCGAACAGATCTCCACTGCTGGCACGGAAGCCTCTGGAACGGGCAACATGAAGTTCATGGTTTGTTCACTATAATGTGCTTGTGGGTCATGCTCAAATCTAGAATGCGTTGAATATGGAATAATTCCCTACCTTCCCTACTGAACTGTTTCTGAACTAAATAGATTTAGCACGCTTAGAACGGTGCATTTTTGTTTTATCTCACAGATTTGGCCTCATCCCTTCCATCTCTTAAATTTTTTTTTGCACCAAATAAGTTATATGAGTTATCGCTCATAGTGTCCAACACGTCCGTATTTTCTGCTTTTACAAAGGAAAATGAATCCATATCTTATCATGACGGTTGATATTAAACGAACAAATAAAAAAGGCGCGTCATTGCATATGTTCTAGCCAGATTCCAGTTTAGCTGAATGGTGCTCTTACGATTGGAACACTTGATGGTGCAAATGTTGAAATGGCTGAAGAAATGGGAATGGAAAACATCTTTATTTTCGGAATGAACGTTGAAGAGGTTTATGTTGTACTTGGATTTGTTTTTATATAGCAGCATTGTGTCATGAACTTTGTTCCGTTCCTTAATTCCGTTTCGAAATAACTGAGGTATTAATCTGCCTTCGTAGGTAGAAGCGTTACAAAAAAGAGGATACAATGCTGAAGAATTTATTAATAAGAGCCCGATGCTCAAGCAGGTTAGTGCAGTTTCTGTACGTGGGAACGATGGGAATGAAAGGACTTCATAGTGATTGGAGCTGTGTGACTGTTTGCTCTGCAGATAGTTGAGCAAATCGAGGCGGGGATGTTCACTCCCGAACAACCGGATCAACTACGAGATCTCACTAATGCGCTGCGACATCATGATCGGTTCCTTGTTTGCGCCGACTTCGATGCCTACGTCGCATGTCAGGACAAGGTTATTGGTATTCTGTGTTTGAAAATGTTTTATAGAAGAATGTTAATGTTGGTTGGTCAGAGATAATTATTGTATTTACATTTATGGCATTTCAGATTACCGAAGACGGACATCTTGCTTAATATAGCCATTTGTCCTTCATGAATTTTACCACTTTTCTATTATTTTCACTCCGAAATAGGTCAGCAGGGTTTTATTTTAGCGTCGGAATGCTTAACACCCACGCAGCGAGTGACACCTATAGGTGTCGTAATGGTTTTGCTGGGGTGGCTGGCATGACACGTATAGGTCTCATTTTCTTCCGGATAATTTATTTTAATGCATAGAACTATTTTAGTATAACTTGTATAATGCTGAGATATTTGAAAAACTCCGGACCGCAGGTGTATGCGGTGGGGAACGAACGCGCTATAGTGCTTTCCGGGGAGTAACGCGTTCACCACCACACCATGCCGATCCTTCGTTTCGCCTGTGTCTCAGCCAGTTCTATCGATCACTGCCATCAGCAATTACCCGTCAACGGGATTAATCTGGAGAGCCTAAATCGGTATCGAACCCAGTTAAGCTGAGGCCATAGTTATAATCATAATCTTAACCTTTTTATAACCGGAGTTTTGCAAATATCTCAGCATTATACAAGTTATATTTTGCAACATACCGTGCCCTTAAAAAAGAATAGGCAGTAAATAAAAAGGTTAAGATTGTGATTATTTTAGTATACTGTTTGTTATCAACTGATAGCTTGTAAAATATAGATGTTTTGGGGGACGTTAATCAGGGAAAGCCTTGTTCCGCACTTAGAAATATACAAAAAATTTACACATCTCAGTACTACACATATAAATTTGAACATTTTATTTGAACGAAATTGTTAAAAACAAGTAGTAGTATCAGAGCCTACCACGGCAGTTCATCCTTTCTGTCAGACGACTGCTTTCATTCCGCCACTTGCAAATCCACGAGATCTGCTTTATGGCTCTTTAAAGCTTGAAGGGAGGTACTTCAATGCGACGGAACAAATGGGTAGCATTCCCACCAATACGTGGGCGGTTGCGAGACAGGAGCTGATCATATTTGTAAATTGGATGAGGTGTAGACAATACTGAATAAATCTTCTGCATTCTTCGGCAAATTCTGTACACCTCCTCCATGTTACCAAGATGATCAGCACACGTCTCGTGACCACATGATACATGTATTTATACGTTTCTACAAAACTGTTTCAGTCCTATTTGCTATAGTGAGTGACCCTTACCGTATAGAGTGTGCGGTTATAAAAATACTGAAATGGAGACCCATAAGTTGTAAAACACTTCCAAATGTTGACAGTAATGTTTGGAGGTTAGACCATATATAATAAATAGCACCATAAAGAACATTCATACCCATAGAATGATGGAGCAGAGTTTTTTCAACAGTCCTTCCATGCTCGAAACTCGCAAAGTAACCTACTTATCGAAGAATTATTGTTCATTTTGAAAAAAAAAACCGAAATTGTTAAAGGCTGAAAATCAAGTGTTGCCCGGTTCACCACAAACCCTAGGTTAGGCGTCGTCGCGAGAATGTCATAGAGAGTTCTAAGTCGATAATGGTAGGGAAAAATTTAGAAGGTTAAACAAACGCTGTGGGGATGTGAATCTCATGTTCCTCTGTACATTCCGTAGAGATCACCAATTTTAAAGATGAAGTGCGAGCACCAATGTTTCTAGTAGTTGGGTTTTCAACCAACACATTGTTTTATTTAGAATTGTTTTCTTCCGTGTTAATAGACGTCTACACTAGTAATTCATGCAGCCGACAGTTTACGTTCTTTATCCTCTGCACACTACGAATAAACAAAGAAAAAAGTTTTACAGGTCGCCGAGACTTATCGTGACCAGCAGAAGTGGTGCCGTATGGCGCTGATGAATATCGCTTCTACTGGAAAATTCAGCACCGACCGCACTATCTCCGAGTATTCCCGGGAAATTTGGGGCATTGAACCTGGCGAGCTTAGTCTTCCACCACCCTATGAGACTGTTGACGGTGTTGAACAAAGTAATTAACGAGATTTGTTGTTTTTTCACTCATACTAACACTAGTACTCATCTGAGTTGCCTTTTTAGTGATATTCTTTTGTGTTCAACCGGAGGATTAGATTCTAGGTAAGGAATGTTCACGACAGTAATATGTTAAATGCTTCCCAATCAGCGTCGGTTACGTGCGAGTAGTTTTTGCTCCATATTAGATCTAAAACATAGACGTGTGATTTACTAATCATTGGGCTTTTTTATATTGCATCTTGGTAGTTCGTTTTAGATTGTATTTTGACAAATGTAGATAAATATGCCTTAAAAATCTGATTTGGAGTCCATATCAATTAGCCATGCATATTTGACACGAAAAACTATGATGTTTCATACTCGGAGCCAGCTAACGTTGCCTGTTCATGTCACTCAACTATTTGGGTTTTATTCCATCGCAGTGCAGTCTTTTCGAGGTTGTTCTTATTCCCATTAGGTCTCGATCTGGAATGTGTTGTATTTCACTTTACTACTAGTAGCTACAGCACCCCAGAAGATGTGGAGGTTTGGGATGATTCAGACGGCAGTTGGCTTACTTAGTAATCAACCAGCTCGTGTTTTTCTCTTGTTGGCATTTTTCTGGCATGAAGAGAGCTCTGCAAGAAAAGTAGCGCAAGATGAAAACACTTCCGTCAATGATATGTCATAGCGCTTAATATACGACACTGTATGTACTGATTACAACGCGTATTCTTTAAAACCGCTCATTTTCCTTTGAAGAGTCTAATAGCCCGACGTCATGACCAATTGATAGTTTCATTAATTCAATTTTGCATGGCGGGATTGTCAACAGGAGCAGCAGCAGAACATACGGGCGTGGAAAAATCCCCATGCCAGTTAGGAGTGGGGTCGTCCTGGGCCGATAAATTCACCGTAGGAGGTAGAACTACAGATTCAAGCTATCCAAACCATATACGGGAGGCGGCTACACGTATAGAATTTGAATGTACACTGGTTGCAATGCTGTAAGTGGAAATGTGTCGCAGTTCGCAGTGATGAAGCTTGTATACGATTACTTGGGATTTTTTGGATAAAGGAAGGAATCTGTTACCGATATTATATTTTTCATTTCACATGACTGGTCTCTCAAGAGATCAAAGGCGAGAAAAGCGATAAATCCAAATAGCGTTGTAACATAACGTTCGTAGCGTAGCCTTATGTTGCGATCTTGTCTACTTGTAGGAGACCTTATTACGGCCACCCTCTGAATCGATTCTCTACCCCAGAACTTGTTAGTGAAAGCATTCAATAGCCAGTTGTAGAATGTGATCCACAGTAAAATCATTTCTGTATGATTTTCATTGATACGAGAATAAAAAAACTGCAGTGAAAATGAAATGAAAACAACCGATTCAGAGTATAAATCTGAATTCGAAATGGGAAGAGTGCAGCCCACTTTTTTGCGTACTGCGCACAGCATGCCTCTGTTATGGAAATTCGTTTTCGCAAGGAAGGAAAATTGCCACTCGATCTCACAATGGCATAATGGCACGGTTTTCGTGGAGATCGATCACATCATTCACAAGCAAACGATGTACGGTAACCTTTAGATAGCAGAAATCGACATCTCTATAAATGAGATGCTAACTGCCAGTTTCTTAGACAATCCCACTACACGCCCAGCACACAGTAGATAAAGGATTGCCAAAAACTGCAGTGTTTAATCAGAGTTGAGCTTTTAAGAGCCATTGCCAAAAAAAATTCTGAGGGCAAAATCTGCAGTCTCAGTCTCCAACAATGCGCATGTGAACTAATTCGCACCGAGGACTACAAGCGGGTTGTCGAAAGGCTTATAAACTTGTGCCGCACTCGCTCCATTTCCTCGAAGATGAAGTTCAGATCACATCTCCACTACCATTAAGAAGTTGCTTGAAAGAAGGAAAATGAACCGTGATCCTTCTGCAACACACATAACACGGCTAGCACTAAATGTCAGATGCAGAAGAGCTTTGTAGGAGGTTCTACATCGATACACGCAGAGGAAACTGTTAGAAGCAGCACGAAATGCATCTCGCGGACGTTACTAAGTTCCCAAGGGCCAACACCATGGACAACGAGAAAGAAACGAATAGTGGATTTGCTGGCACTTGCATTACTCATGAAAGCTGGCGATGCAGGTATCCAAGTGAGTACGTCTTCATCTATAAATTAGACGGATAGGACTGTAGTGCACATAAAGCAGCTAATGAAGCTAGTTAAGATAGACGAATAAACGAATTGGTATTCGTAGACGTTATCATGGTCGAAATAATTCACCATCAAGGACGCAGATCCGATGGAACGAAACGAATGGAAAATATAGAGATTGTATGATTTGTAAGAATTTCGATTTCAATTTCTTACTCGACGTAGCCAACGTAGACAGCGGACCACCATATGAGGAAAGTCTTCTTGTACCAAAATCACTGTTGTTACCCACCCCAGATCCATTCGAGGCCACATATAAAATAAATTTTACGTTCGAAGCTAACAATCTTTTATGTTACCTTGGAAATTTGTGGCAGACTGAAGGAATAAAGTCAACGTACCACACCAAGTACGTATTTCCACTTTTTATCTTTCATATCATTGTTTTCTACTTGATCTTTTGCAAAATGGAACCAGATTGCGTGGGAGAACGTAAAATTTTGTAGAGTACAACATCATATGCATTGTCGCCTCTTCAGCTGAATAAAATGTTTGAACGGCAATTCGCTTCACTTCAAATACCCAGAAAGTGCGAAGTCTAACAGAAATCTTCTTGGATGACAAGAGAATCGAAAGCCAATCAAATATCTTTTGTGCTTCTAATCCTGTTCTGTTTGGAAGTCCAGTTTTTGGCGGAGAGTTCCGGTGCCGTCAGTCGATGGTAGCCGCCGCTTTCCAATTACTGCTTGGACGTAGCGTAGAGCAAAGCGATCTGGATATACGCGATTCATAACGAACACGTCTCATTTTTCGAAAATGTTAAGTGAAATGCTTAACGGACGACAGTTTTTTTCACTCTTTTGACGTTTAGATATGAACGAGGTTTTCACGCCGAGACTGAATAAAAGTACATTTAGACAACATATGAGAGTTTAACAATTCCTGTGCCTACTGTTGATGAACCGTCCCAAGGGTTTACCGTCTCATAGTGGCTGGGAGATCTTCCTGGGCTGCGGCTGCAAGATGATTCATCCACCCCCTTCTCCTCCCTAGCAGAGCCCCCGAGCTGAGAAGGACTCTGGAGTTTCCATCTTTTCATAGGAAGCCCAGCTAAGAGTAAACCTATACCAGGACCACCACCGTCCTGGGATCGTTTTAAACTAGTCGCATGGTGGCAAATCTCCATCTGATCCACAAGGGCGGCGACTGCGTGTGAACCAACTGGCGCAGTCAGGACTCCAGGGCACCACAATGGCTAAACCAGCAAAACTCCGAAAAAGTGGGAATTGTACTGAGGCCCACACAATCAGCGAGACGGGCCATCCGGGTATCCCAGTAAGTACTGATGATGAACGCTGCATTTCTTCGGAAAAGAGCTCAATGCTATGGCATATCAGTATCTGATTTTGAATGGTCCTAATGATATTTGTACGAGTCCTCTCCTATAAAGTCGTAATTTCTTTATGCACCAACACTTCAGACGTCCCTTAGAAGACCTGGCTAGCAAACGGCAACTAGTACTTCACTCTATTTTCGACGATGATGTGAACATAATCTATAAGATTTGAAACGCCTTTAACATGAGAATCAGCTTGAAACGACTACCTTTCCACTTGATAGACGAACTTTGCAAATCATATTCGCCCGGAATCGATTTCTGTTACCTACTTGCGATTGAGCAACGACAGCTTCGAACGAAAACTTGAAATGAACCTGTGCCATCTTCTGCAAAGGTTTTAACTTCTTTTCCTGAATTTTTCGTTAGAATTCGACTGCAAAATGAAGGCATACTCATACTACCTTGAACTTTCGATTTAAAAACTCAAAAAGTCAGAAACGGAGCTTTAAATCTTTTCTGCTCGTGTACAGCGATTGATCTTAACACACTATGAAATTCACAATATAGAGTCTATTTAACTTTCTACAAGGATTTTTTTCCATTTTATATCGTATTTTATAACTTCTTTTTAAATAGACACGGTTCTTCAATTTCTGTACGTTATCACAAAGACAGGACGCGTGTGGCGCAGTGGTTGGAGGCGCCACCGCGACACACACGTGGAATCGAGCCCCGCGCCCATGACCCACCAAGCCTTCCATCCCTCCGGAGTCAGCAAATTGGTAACGTACTTGTCTGGAAGGATAGCAGCACTGGCACGATACACCGGTAGGCCACCGCGAGTCATTGTAAAGGCCAGATATGCATTCAATCACCTCTAAACGATACTTAAAGAAGTCGAATGCATGGCGCATCCCTCAGGAATTGATCAACGCCGAGAGCTTTTATCCTTCTATCATAAAGACTGCATATGTTGGGAATGACGGGCGTCAGCCGATATGAACTGTTCACTTCGCAAACAAACTCAGACGATCAGCGCTATTAATACTTTGTTGTTGAAGCAGTAGGCGACCACTTGAAGGTCATTGACCATTCTCTGCATGTTGCATTCTTTCCATTTGGAGAAATTAGTTTTTCCAGTTCCTTTATAAGTTTCTCTAGCTCCTTTGAACAACATTCGACTCCTGCAGATGTAGTAGAACTTTGTTTGCGTGTACAATAAAATCTTCATTAAAGTGTCATGCTGCAAGACTGATGTTCAATGGAGGGCAACAAATTCTGTGATTTGAAAAAACGTTTCGTTTAGGTATCCAAGTAAATGAATGTCATCTGGCGCCAATCACCTTCCATCCTCATTTGAGAGCTTAATTTGGTACCAAAAAGTAAGAGCTAAGTAAAGAGATGCTTGCTGAGGGTAGTATAGCCAAAAACGTGAACTTTTGTTTTGTTGCAACGAGCTTTATTCATGGGGTCAGTGTGTGAAGTATAAATAGCTATGTTTAATTCTATGTACTAT